TCCAAAATTTCAAATACAATTATGAAAACAATTTTTAATTGTAGTTACTTAACAGAATTCCAACATTTTTATTTCCTTTAAAATGAGTACAAGCATATTGTATAAAAAGCCTCTGCTAGCACACAGACAACAGCAACGGAGGATTAATCATTTTTGCTATAGCAACCACTGCACTGCAATTACCATAGTGACATGAGAAGAATAGAAAAAGTAATAATGAATGAAGAGCACTTACTTGTTGGAGTAACGTGCCTGCCAAATAAGTGCAGAATTCTCTACTGCCCAGCTCTATTCGCCTTAACCAACTGCAATACCATTTGTAATAGAGATGTCACAAAGCATTCTTGATTTATTTTAAAAAGGCCAACACAACTTTGTTGATCGTTCACTGTTCTTTGATCAGATTAATACACAAACCACTGCTGTGACATAACAGGGGGTGCTACTTATTTGAGAGGTTTTGATTTAGACAAGCTGTGGTCCACTACATTAAAATACATTCACACACCTACATTTGTCAATTTTTTAAATGAAAATGTTAAAGTGAGTATATATAGCATATATTTATAAATAAGTATATGTGGGAGTGTAGTAGACCTTAGACACATGCAAATATACATTTTTTTCATGGAAAAAAATGAAATTCAGTATCTGAGTGCTTTAGAAATATTTTGTGCTAAGGTTGGACAAACATCTAATTGTTATTTTTTTCAGCTCCATTTATCAAAATAATATCTATTGCTCAACTTGCTTTCTTAATTTAAAAAAGCAAAGTTTATCCCAAATCAGCCACTAGTCAAGACCTTACTCAAATACATCTCCTTTTATTTATTTTCTGCCATTTCTTCTTCAAATAATGGATTCAAACTTACAGCTGCAAAGGAAAGATCAAATGAAAATTTTGGAAGCAGACAATGTCAGACAAGCTCACCCTTTTAACAAAACACTTTGTTAAGATGTATATGTGATCAGTAAATCACAATCCTGGGGCTGCAGAAGTACAACAGTGCACAAACAGGAAAATCGGAATTAAAGCTAAAGCAGGCAGCTCAAATGAAACAGTACTCCCAAGCTCATGCCTGGACTGGATGTAGCTCTACAGTCTGATGTGCACACAGTTAAGTAAGAAGTGGCCAAACAATTGAAAGTGCAGAGAAGTAATTCTTTGAGACGTCTGTGGAACAGTGAGCCCTGTAGATAAGCAATGAGATGCAGAAAACATGGAGAAAAGGGAAGAAGAGGCAGGCAATGCAGAAAGCAATATGGAATGAGAATGTAACAGTCTTAATAGTGAACACAGTGTGCGCAGGGTGTGAGAGCAATGGTGGGTTCTGCTTAGCCCATCATACACATTGACAAAACCTACTTAGGTAAAAAGTAGTGCAACCTTTTAAGTTTACATTTTCTCATTCTGCTATTCTGATTTGTTAGCCAGTGAAACTTTTTTCAGGTGCTATTACAGAGCCCCGAAATACAATTTAAAATTGCAAACCATCATAACCATCATAACTAAACTTCCTTTTGATTTATGGCAATTGTTTTCTCATCACTTTTGAAACAAAACTGAAAAAAGATGATGTTCAAGTCTGATAAACTATTCATAATAAGGCGTTTCCTTTAACTTCAGCTCACTACACCCAGACCTTGGGCAATAAATGCCTGCTTTTTGAAGCACCTCGAAATGTGCAGACATAGCCAAGTGGGTAACTGCAGTTAGGTACAGGCATTTAGGTTTAGGTAGAATTTTTGGGGAGGTGGTAGGGATATTATTCAAATTCTATCAGACTGCTCTTCGTAGAAAGGCATGGAATTTAATGTCTATATCTTCATTACTTATACACACTATTTTAGTACTTCAGAATTCTCTACAAATTTCTTCAATAAGAAAATGATTATTTGTTGTTTTAGAGAAATTCTGGGGAGATGAATTTTAAAAAAACTGATGCATTATTCAATTTCCTACCAACTGTTACAACAGAAGGATGAATTCAACTGTGATTTAAGTCACAGTAGTTCTCAAGCAGTAATTTCTAAATCATAGTTGTATGTATTTTTTTAACTGTCAGAATAATCTTTGTTCCTTGATCAAAATACACATGCACACACTTACAGCACTCCTTTTCCTCAAGAAAATTAAAGCATGCATCAGCAGCACCTTGACATGGGAAGATTCATGCAACCTTAATGCCTGATTCAAACACAATCCTTAGAAAGTGCACGCACATCAATGACGGAAATGAGGAAACACAAATCTCTTTGTACCTATTTTCATTCGTCAAAATGTTTCCAGCTGGGATACAGCCATTCACAATCCATATTAAGGTTCTGTCAAGTTTATTCCTTCAGACATAATTACAGGTGACAATTTTTCCTTATCTTCTACATACAGAGATTCAAACTTCTTAAACAAATTATTCTCTGAAGCCAAGAGGGCAATCTAAAACCTCTTACAACCAACCCTTACTTGAAAGTCCACAAAGCATTTAGCAAAAAAAAAAAAAAAAAAAAAAAAAAAAATCCCCCCAAATCCCTCAAAAACCCCACTAAGTCCCCCAAACTTTCTTCCATCCTTTTCTCTCAAAGACTGTATAAAGCTGACTTAGAAGCCACGTTTTTCCTATGCAGTTTCAATTAAAAAGACCTCTTTATCTCAAAACAAAGACAACAGATACCTGCATTGTTTTTCCCATAAAATTTTCAGTTTCTGCAGCTGAACAGAATATGACAGAGTCATTTTTCAACACAGAGGACAAAGAACGGGACAAATTCATTTTTCTGTATCTGTGTATATACTGCCAGTTTAGAATGTCTTCTAAATTTCAGTTATCCTTTAAGCGCTCCATAAACATAGGAGACCTTGCATCAGTTTTCTCTACGCTTCATTTTCACACACTAATTATAAGTGACTGAAAGACATACCTGTGCTCAGCCATGAAAAGCTCTAGAAAAAAAAGAGAGCGTAGAAGTGACCTACAAATGACCCAAGGCTAATCCTTCAAAAAAAAAAAAAAAAAGCATGTCTCCTCTAATGATTTTGAGAACATCAGCTCATACCAGCCAAGAAATGCACTGATGTCTAATGAACAGCATTTCTAAAAGTTTCATGAAAAACCTGTGTAGCAAGAGATCCGGCCAAATATGTTCCACCTTTGAAGAGATGGTGGAAAAAAGAAACAACATCAGAAGTTTCCCCTTTCACACTGGATGGATTTGTGTGACGTGAATTCATCTGCAAAGATAAAGATGGTAATGCGAATGCTGAGGAAGACATGCTGCAGGATGTGGGTGGGTGAGAGTTCTCTATTGCAGCTGAAATTATTGAGATCTCCCAGAATAACCAGGTCCAAAAAAGTCAGCATCTCCTTCCATAGATGATACGGATTATTACCTACCTTTGTTCTCTCTGCCAGACTCACTGTCCCTCTGCATTTATTTCTGCGTGTTTCTCAAGTCCTCACACGCCTTCTCCCTCACTATATTTTTACTAGAAATTTTGTTCTCCTGTTGTCTCATGTTGTTGCTCCAGCTGTAAGTTCGATGACAATTGGCTGAGCAGAACATTCTACAAATTGTGATGGAGCTCCAAACCAATGGCAGCTCCCTGCTGCTGCACACCGGCCATCTTCCACAGCCCTGGCTGCACCAAACCCAGACAGCGCACTGCACTGTTCTGTCAGCGTGCACCACTTCACTCCATTCTTTAAAATCATAGTTTTGAACTCTGACCAGTTATACTCCTCTTTGCAAAGATGCCTCAGGATTTTTTAAGATCTCATTATGGTAAATTTCTATGTAAACATTTGGACTTATTAGCTACCCAACGCAGAGATGAATATATCCTACATAAAGATTGCCTTACACAGTGTCATAAAAAAAATATCCACTATATACTAAACATGTATTAAAACATTTATCAGAACATGAACTTGAAAAATAGTTACAAAAAATTCAACGTATTTACAAGTACTTTGAATTGCAAAAGATGTAGTATTTATACTTAAGTGCTTGTATTTGTAGATAAACAATAAAAGATTTCACAAAACATGGTAAGAATTTCACAGAAGAACCTAAAGCACTGCTAAAGTTTTACCTTTACTTACTAGTGATATGTAAACTCATTCACAGCTGCTGTAGAAAGGACTAAGAAATGCTAACCAGCAGAAATGTTTTCCAGATGAATGTCAGGAAACAGGGTTTTTTTTTTTTGGAAATTTTCTAGAATTTTTCTGAATACTTGGAAGTAGGAGCAGAGAGAAAGAACTGGAAACTTAGGCTAATGCAGTCTGACTTTGAATTTAAAAAATGGTCATTCTTTATTCTCAATATTTAAGTCAAAATGATCCAACAAAGTTAACACTGGACTATGTTTAAAGATAGGCTCAGTCTCACAATGAGATATATAGGGAATTAATTCATTCTTTAAAAAAAAAATGGATATTCAGTAATATCAGCAGAATTAGTCCTGAACTATTTTCTCTTGGGTCACAATTATTTTAGTTTAGAGCACACACAAAAGTAATATTTTTTGAATTACAAAATAAACATTTCCTGCTGTCTGCAACAGAACGCACACATTGAAAGGCCATAATGGACTGTAGGCAGTTTTGCCTGGTTCAGGTAAAACAAACACAATAAAACCACAAAATCACAAAAATAAGATAACTGGTAATAACTGGTTTGATATTTGTATATTGTGCATGAAACACACAGTACACATTCACAAGTGTGCCCTCAGAAAATAAGTATGCATGACACAGAATGCACCAAAATAGCTGAAGTCAAATTTAGTTGTGTTTATTCATAAATTACTCCCAGAATTTTCAGGATCTACAGTCACACATCTTAAAAAAAAAAACAAACAAACAAACAAAAAAAAACCAGAAAATAACTTTAGAATTAAACATACTTTAAACAGCTTCATTCTTTGATGTAGAACAGCTAACTATATTGTGAAAAAGAAACACTTGGAATATGAGTAGTTTTTAAAAAATAACACTCACCAAAATCTGCAAATACAGACTGTCCAACAACCACTGCACCACTAGGCTTTGCTTTACTTTTTTCAGGTTTAGAGAAGTTCCCATCCTATCAAACAAGACGAAGGAGAAAGTGAATTGCAGATCAAGTGACAAAGCTTCATTTTTGAACAAAAAACAAACAAACATGCAAAAAAAGAATAGTTTATATAGATAAGAAACATCGTAGCTACAGAAAAAATGCACTGTTTGGAAAAGGAGATTTTTTTCAGTTCTAATCCTTCAAGGAATCCCATGGAAATCCAATAGTAACACTGCTTGTATAAAATACAAGTATTAGATTTTAAGAATTAAAAGATCTAAAAATAAAAGTAATCCACTGCTTTAAAAATGTTTCTCAGTACAGCTTTCATTACTTATGCCAAAGTCAGTATTTGGATAATTTCTGGCAGATGAGCTTTTCATAGTTCCACGTCAGCAGCGGGCTGAAGATGGCCGTGTTGACACGTGACGGCACCACATTCCCAATTTTACACTGATTCACTGTGATACAATGGATACGTTTTCAGGTACATATGGCCTCAAAAGATTCACTCCTTAGACAATAAGCAACACAGTAAGCATTTTCTGTAATAACAAAAGATATTTTTTTGATGCATAGATGCTGATATTGCTGTCAATAGTCCTTTTCGAGAACATACTTAGCATAAGGGATGCACCCAGTTTCAAATCAATTAATGTTATTTGTTGTCGTTAACAACGGAGTACATAAAAATAAATAAATAATTACTTGATCTGTTCCTGCCCAACCTTGAATTACATTGGTGATATCTGGTTAATGTAGGACTTGCAATTTTTCCAGTTGCAACCTGTGTACGTATTCTAATGGTTACAAGTGAGATTCTGAACCTCTGTCCCACAAAATCTCACCCATAATCTGGTCACAGTTCTAAGAAAGCTTGCTTATAGAGATTAAATCTTTGAGACAACAAGAACAAAAAAATCTGATCGGCCACTTCATCAGAAAGCACTGTGCTAAGTGCTAGTAACTTCCTACAACAGCTGATGACACAGCAGGGCTCCTGCTGAGCGTCTGAAAGTAGTCTGCTTTCCTTTGTAGTCCTATTGAAAAACCCACAGAGAAACTTGTGCTGAGTAAAAGATCTTGAGTGATTTGTTCCTCAAACCAGGAACATCAGACAGCCTTTTACGGTTTTGTTTGATGCTTCTGCATTTGAGTATCATGGTTACTTCAGTCTTCTCTCTTACCTTATTTATCCAAGTCTCAAACTGAATGTCAGGATTTGAGGTAGTAAGGAATAAGTCTGAGAATAAAAACAAGAGAAATAAAATATTTCACATTAACTGAAGAACATTTCTTAAGAATAAAGATAGAGACAGGTTTCAAACAAAGTAGTATGCATCACTGCATTTTTAGTAAGTCAGAATTAAAATAAAAACCCATCATCTTTTTATTTTGGATCCATTAAGTTAAGCAATATCTACACTCTTGACAGCAGAAGAAAAAAAGATGTTTCAGGCTTCACATACACTTAAATTCTCTTAAATATTACAACAGTGTGAAAGAGTGCTTTAGAGGATTTATCTGATCATGTCTGCTTAAAGTAGAACTCATTCAAGAGAAGGGAAACAAAGAGGTGTATTAAAGATGTCAAAAGAAAAAAAAGGATGAAGTGTAGCATACAATTGATTTTAAGAAAACCATCCTTTCGGTTTAAGCACTTGTTTTCTCTTCTACTGTCCTTCTTTTCTCTCCGGTTAAAAATAATACTATCAGAGATGGGAGACAATGATTACTCTGAGTAGAAAAAGATGAATTTAAAGCATTTAAAAGATAACACCATACCCTCAGGTTTTACTGAATAAGCAGGTGGACAGCTGTACAAGGAGCTTCAGATGGCACAAACAAAAAACCTCCAAACAAAACAACAACACCACCCCCCAAAAAAAATAAACACCCAAACACAAACCACCACCAAAACCCCACATGAAATAAAATGAAAGATTTTGCTTACAGGTTCCTTCTTCCCTTTCCTGTACTGTGAAAGCTGTACTGTTTAATTTTATTCTCCTCAATATGCGAAATGGCAATTTCCTTTAGAGCACTCACATAAAAAGGCTTATCATGATAATGTGCTGCATTGGAATGAATTTTATTGCTGCTTAAGCATTTCTTCAAGAGAGTCAGAAGTCATGAAAACAGTCCGAAGACAGAGAGCATTTATAAGTTCCAAATGTACATTCTGCAGCATAGGAAGTTCTGCACAAATGTGCGCAAGATCTTCTTTACAGTGAGGTGACGGAGCACTGGAACAGGCTGCCCAGGGAGGTGGTGGAGTCTCCTTCTCTGGAGATGTTCAAGACCTGCCTGGACACCTACTTGGTGCAGGAACCTGCTCTGGCAGGGGGGGTTGGACTCGATCTCTGGAGGTCCCGTCCAGTCCCTACAATTCTGTGATAACTGTGTATGTAGAAGGAGGTCTGTTCAACACTGTTCATTAACATGGATCTAAACCATAAAAATACTCAAATAATACATTTGGGGGGCTTTGAATAGGTGGGGGACAAGGAGAGAGGAAAATATGGAAAAATTGGAGCTTTTACATCTTTTTACAGAGTTTTTTAGTTTCAAATAAATATTCTACATAGCAGTAGTATGCCTGCGCTGTAACCAGTACTGTAATTTGCAATTCATTATGAGCTATACCATATACAGGTTATGACAACAGGTCTTTCCATGTTCTATTTAAATATACAGCATATGAACAGTATTTGATTAAAAAAATAGAATCGGTTGGTTAATCATTAGCAGGAACTCTGACTGGCACTGTACCTGTTTTCCCAAAACATCTCTGACTCAGTTTCACATCTCACAGATCTGACCTCTCACATTTATATGCCAAGCCAATCCTCTCCCTGCCCAATCCTCTGCACTAGGAGAGATCCTGGGGAGCATGAACACAGCATTCCCACTGAAAATGCCATGCTTACATGTTTTGTGACTCTATTCCAGAATTAGACAAAACGACACAACTGCTAACACAAGTCAAAATTCAGCTAGTGGTATTATGCTGAAAGCCCAGCTCTGAACAACTGCTTGGTTAAATAAACACAACACAGTTACACTTCTGGGGAGGAAAAAAGTACAAATACAAAGGCAGATGTGAGTTATGCTACAAGTACTATGAAGTCCTCAGCTCCTTACATCATCCAAGGTTAAAACAAAATTTGTTCAAAGTAAGAATAGCAAAAGTGAAACAGCATTATCTCAATTAATTCAACATGTAATGGGGTTTCACTTAATTTATATGGAGTTTCATTCTTACTGTAAAAGCCTATGCCAGAGCAGTATGCTATGTCAACTTCCCAGTCAAAAAAAATATTTCCTTCAATGGGTAAATATTGTAGCACCTGCAGTATCCTTAAATTAGAAGAAAAATAGAAAAGAGAAATGAACGCTCTTAACATATTAATGGGAAGTTACATAAACATTAGTATGAATTAAACTATTCATAAGTAGAAATATATCTCATTTTCATTTGTGCTTCACAGAATAAATGCATCAGTTACTGCTCCTCAGAGAGCTTAATGGCCATGTCAATTCCATATTGTTTAGCCCAGACAGATTAAAACAAGTGTCAGGAAGTTAAGCACTCAGCAGTGACTGGACAAAAAGGACAGCCAAGTAAGCCGCACACTTATCATGATCTGCAGCAGCAGCCACTACCAGCTCATTCAAACATGAGTGAATTACTTGTAACAGAGTACCCGTGCATACTCTAACACGTTTGCATCTACTTGATGCAAACTTTTTATCTATAAAAATATGCAAAAAAAAAAAGTAGTTTGAGGTAGATTTCCTTTATGCTTTAAAAGAACCAGTTTTTCCCCTCAGTTTTCAGTCAGAAACAGATTATATTTGTCTCCTTGTTGCCCTTCCCTCTCCTTAATCTGATTTCATAGTAAGTATATAGAAATACTCAGAAGTGTAACTGCAAAGGGAATGGAAACAATATAGAAAGACAAGGAAGAATAGGTATATAAAATCTTAGATGTGAGGATCAGACTCAAAAGTTGCTTTCAGATAAACAACAAAAGGTGGGGGGAACTGGAGAGAACAGCACAGTGGCTGGTATGTCATACTGTAATAAATACAAGGAATGCATTTAGCGATCTGCAGCGTAGGAGGAATAAATCACGACACTAAATCTAAGTCAAACTAGAAAGAGCTAGTACAAAGGCAATAATTCAAGATGTCTAAAATGTTTACTAGGCTAAGAAAATAGAGGTGTTCACAGATTTAAAGCTTTCAGCCACAGTACAAACCAGGTACTGAATATCACCTGCTACATTAGCATTACGATGATTAAACTCAGCAACATGTCCATTTCACACCGAACTTTCCTCCCCTCTCTAAAGAAAGCCCTCAGAACAGCATCTATATTCAGCAATTAAATTACTTTTGCCCTTTTTTTCCTCTTTGATATATTCCTCTGTCCCTCCTTTCCGCTAACCTGAGGCTTGTAACGCTATATACAGCTAGAGGAATCAAGGCACCAAGGCAGCTTCAAGCTTACTGCCATATTACAGTGTGCTGGTAAAAACACGAAGGCAGATAAGGATTGCAGATCATCTTCCATAAATAGCAGATGAGCTAGTGCCACACTGCTCCAAAGTTAAAGAAACAAGCTGAGATATCCCTTAAGGCAAGCTAACAACACTACAGCAACATCACCTGTAGTTCTAGAACCAGCTGAACCAACTCGGTATGTTAATGCAAATTGTCATTTTGTCTTTAAGCCTGCTTAGAAACTACATATCTCAAATTCTCATGCCTATTTTTGGGAATAATTTCTTGGGCACCAAAGAAAATTAGGGCTTAAATATTTGAAAGAAGTCTTCCATTTAGAACAAGAATAACAGATTTCAAAGCAAGCATAAAAGCATTTGCTGCAATGGCAGTGTAAAAATACCTCAAACAATGCAACTGAGACACCCCAAATAACAAGATACAAACTTGAATAGTTTGGAATTGCAAATGTCTATAAGAAACCAAGCCTTAGAAAAAACAAACTCTTCCCAGTGCAGTCTTTTAGATCACACAATTTCCAAAGGTTACTTCAGACCTAACCTATTCTAAGATTCTGACTTTATCACGTATGCTTTTGGTGCTTAGGAACAAGAACTATTTCTTAATGGTTCCTTCTTCAATAAGCGTATCTATTTAATATCTGTAAGTATATTTTCCCATATAACCATAGCAAGCAATATGCAAGCACCTCCTTTCTAAAGGAGAAGCGTCCACAGCAGGTGTATTTTACAACCGTTGCTATTACTTTCCTTGGTCTATCATTGTTACCTTCTTTACTATATGAAGGCTGCAGGAAAAAACATGGAACAAATAAACGTGATAGGATATGTATGTTAAGTACTTGATTGGCATGACAGCATACACAGTTCATTTCTATACTTTTTGTATTTTAATACACTAATCATCTTGAAAACCGCAACAATTCTGTTCTGCTTCTGGCAAAGTCAAGAAAATTGAACACCTCCTTCCTACAAGGAATGTATTTCATATTACAAAAGCCAGGGAAATGTCACTTGTTTAAAGACATGCTGCCACATTGCCTTTGGGAGGCAGCTGTGGTAGCTACTTCAGCTGAAGAAAACAAAACTATCTGCACACACGTATCTATAAGCTGAAAAAACACAGATCAAGTATGGTGTGCTGGACCACTCTGTTCAACTGCTAACAAACCCAACAGCAGTGCAATACCAGATATTTACAACCCAAGGTTATAAAATAAAATAAACTCTAGCTCATTATTTACTATATTATTTGCCATATACAACAACGTTACTCTGGATAATTTCATTAAATCATCGGTACATAAACGGATACTAAACAGAATAGGCATGGATTTATCTTTAACACTCTGACAGTTGTAGATACTGGACATATACAATGAAAATGGACCACAGAATCAAAAAAGGAAAATCAGTCTGGCCATCAGTAGGAGTTACTGCCAGAGAAAGAGCACAGGGATCATTGGATGGACCACTACACTAGGTCTGCAGGAGGAGTTCTGCTGTGCTTATTTCATGACATAAGAAAGATGAGTCAAGTCTTTGGTCACTGGGATGGTGGGAGACACTCACAATAGATTCAAGGACGTCTCCCAAAATTTAATGCCTGCAGTGTAACTGAATGGCTAGAAGTAAGAAAAGCATTCTCATCAGAGAGGAAGCGTTTCTCTTAAACACATACAAAGAGAAGTGTGTTTGCATTAAGTATGTTTTG